CTATGAGGATTGCCCTCACATTGTTTTGCAAATGGATTTGGAGATTCTTCAATGAAAGAGATGCTATTTGGAGTGGAATTGTGTCTCATAGATATGGAGGAATCATTAGGTGCTTGTGGTTGGATAGTGACAAATACCACTCCTCTTTACAATTTTTATGGTGGAGGGACCTTATGCTTATTAGCAAGAATTTAAGGGGCAGTTTGGAGGAAAATATTGGAATAGGAAAAGATTGGAATAAGATATGTGGCAAAATTCAGAATTGGCAATGTTGTTTCAATTATATTATGGAAAGGTATTTGGATTGGCCGCTCCTCTTTGAAAGAAATTTTTCGTGTCCTATTCAGTCATGCAGTTAGCAAATTGGCTATGGTTTATGATTGTGGAGTTTGGGTTGATGGTGTTTATAAATAGAGGATAGAGGAGTTTGGATCTTATATGGATCCAAATCATGCAGCAGAACTCCAATACCTGATGTTGATCTTGGCTAAGGTCACTCCTAACATGTTGGAACTTCATCAACTCAGTTGGGAGGATGCTTCACATCAGACTTTCTCTACCAAAAATTGTTACAACATCCTATTAGTTCTTGAAGTGCGGCAGAATATTCACGATCAGTTGAGCACAATTTGGAGGAAATTATGGAAGATGAAAGTATCCTTTAAGGTGAAGGTTTTTTGTTGGAGATTATTTCACAATAGGCTCTCTACAAAGCAACAACTCTTTAGAAGAAACATTATCCATGATATCTCTTTGGCCAATTGTGCTTTTTGCAATGAAGAGCTAGAATATATTGATCATTTGATGATCTACTGCCCGGTCACAAAATTGGTTTGGAACCATGTTTTGGATTGGATTGATTTGTCTAAACCATTGTCAATACATTGTATCTTGGATTTTAAGCTTGTGTTGGAAGCTGTTAAAGGGAAGGTCGGGAAACATTGTGAAGGAGTTTTGTAGATGATCACTTGTTGGTGCATTTGGAACAAGCGAAATGCCATGATTTTCAATGAAGATAGTTGTCATGCAAGGGATATAGAGTTTAACATCAAATTCATTTCTTGACTTTGGCTTGGTCTTCACAAAAAATTCATACTAATGTAGCTTCTTTGATTGGTGCAATGCACCATTAGACTTCCTTATGTAATTTCTTTGTAATTTTTGTTGGCTTGTGGTGTCATTCTCACCATTGTAATGACTCCTCTATAATGTTGACTTGGGTATCTCTTATACTCCCTTTAATGAATTCATTTGCTTTTATAAAAAAAATACTCACCTACAAAACCCCTCATGTTGTTGCCAACAAAACTATATACACCTCACTTCATCTCATCCAACTCACGAATAAGATAAAATAAAAGAAAAATGAAAAACGATTCAGCATCCACCTTCGGACGCCTAGCAGATGAGGCGAAATTGCCCAAACAAACCCAACTTCATCTATGTACAAATACAAGAAATTTTCAAGACAATCACTACTATAATTTATCTTAAAATTTACGTGTGGATTTTAAAATATGTGAGTGAAAAGTAGCCGCACAAAAAATGGAATCACAACTCGTGTGGCTGAGTTTAAAGGTGAAAGAAAGAAAACGGTCAGTCTCAATTTGAAATGAACCAAGTTCATTGGACCTATATGGTTATGATGATTTTATAAATTTAGTGCATGAAATAATGGACCATCCCATTATCTTCTATGCATAAAATGTCAATCTAATGAAGGAGATTGAGGGCCATCAGATCCCTCCAATCTCTTTCTTATGGATGAATTACTATACGTGCCAACTTGGAGCTTCCTAATCTTAATCCTATGTCATGTCTCAAATGGTTGTCTTCTTCCAAAAAAGAATCACACGTTTAAATTCTTGATAATATATCTTAGCTATGTGTATAATTATTCAAAGAAACATAAGAGTGGTCAAAATCTAGGAAAAAGATAAGACCCGGCAACTATATTTGTTGTGAGTATGTGACAATAAATACTCATCATATTGTTTTCATGCATCAATCAAACATTGAGCCCACTTACTATTTTTTAAGGTGTAAAATTCAATGAATTTTAATAGTAAAGAAATGTTTGTTAATTACGTGGGTAAAGTACATCAAGTAAATTAAATGAGTATAATCGGTTGGTCTCAGATTTAATCCTGATGACAAGTTTCATAGTATATAATGGGAGTGATGGTTGGAACTAAGAATGAAACTAATAAAAGCTGACCCAATGCACTATGGAGTTATGTAAAGCACTTTTGAAGTGGGGAAATGAGAGAGAAAGAAAAAGTGAGACTAGAGAGAATCTTAGGTGGGGGAATAATGACTAATAAAAACTGTTATCTTATTTTTGCTTTTTTCTCATACTATGTTCAATCAACCTAGTTGATGATTGAACTTTTTGTACATGCAACAGAAGTAGATGTTTGCTTTCATTAAAAAGCCCAAAATTCATCCTAAAAATACTAAATTAAAAGGTGGTACCATGCCTAAGACATTTAAAGTATAGCATATTTCATCATATCCTCTCATTATTTCCTATTACTTATATCATTATTTGCATAGTCAGATGTCACTTACAATAGTAGCAGAAATCAAACCCAAACATCTTATATATTTTTCCATATTATTATTATTACTACTGATTAGATCGTTCTCTTTAAAACGTTTGGTAGTTCTGTCTAAATTGTTTACCGCAGGACAATCTCGTCGTCCTTTTTTTGTGTGCCTGACTCCTTTGTCCCCCAACACTTTACTCACATCATCTTACCTTTGCTTTCCCATAAATAAACATGAATGCCCACCATCTAACTGTCTCTACCTCTCCCTTTTTCATCATTTACCCTTCCTTTATTTTTCTACCAAGTTCAGTACATTTTTATTTGTTTTTTAATAATTAGAATATTAACAACTATTAGCTTTCATTTCAGCCTCTATTAGTGCTTTAGGAACATAAATAAAAAGACACACAAGCTTATTTTGTCTTCTCATAACCAACCTTTCCAAAGAGATGAAACAATGGAAATACATGTCTCCAATTTTCAAAGCAGTTTATAGTTGATCTCTGTAACAAGGTAGCACTCTTTTTCACTAGATTTTCATCATCTTATTCATGCATTAGTTTTTTGCACCACCACTCTGAACCAACACATGGAAGACTTCCTTTCCATCTGCATGCAGTCTTTTTTTTTTTTATGTCTAACTCTCTGGTTCTTAGGAAAAGGCCCTTGTAGTCCAGTGTTCGACTAGGAAGTAAATAAAGTCTGACCGATGATTGTTTCAGCTAGGGTTTGAACTCGGGTACTCCCAATCGATTAGGTCTTTATAAAGCTCATTAATCACTTGATTATGCAGATGTTGATATTTATGTTTTTTTTTTCAGTCCTTACTATAATAGTTGGGATTTGAAACCTTGCTTATAATGAGTCAAGAATGTAATTTACTCATATAGCACAAACTAGTATATATGGCCATTTGTTTTCAGATCTACCATAAGTGAAATAAGGTTTTAAGTAAATATTAATAGATTGTTGTGTTCAATTAGCCGAATTCTGTGATCAATTGTTGTGTTTTGGTGCATACTAACTATGAACTGATTGGTTTTCATTGCAGAAACAAACATCTCTTTCGCCGGAAGCTCTTAATCATATCATACTCTGATGATATAAATTGCTGGACATATTTAGAGAATAAGTTTTAATCATGAAACCGATTTTCGATCTTGAAGTAGAGGCTGTCGCAGAATATGAATCTGAAGTAAGTAGCCATGTTGCTTCCAATATATCCATCCATGGATTTGAAACCTCTCCGGGATCCTATAGTAACGGCTTCACCAATAGTTCAAACATTACAAATCCAAGAGAGTTTCTTCCCTATTCAAATCCTATCTCACTCGACTTAACACTCAGTTTCAACAACAACAACGATGACTTGGTTCCGAGAGATTCAACAGGACTCTCATTCTCAAGCACCAGCGAGAGCAGCAACGAACCTACCATCGTCCCAAGAGTTTTCTCTTGCAATTACTGTCACCGCAAGTTTTACAGCTCTCAGGCGCTCGGTGGACACCAAAACGCACACAAGAGAGAAAGAATTATAACAAAGCGAGCTATGCGAATGGGACTATTCTCTGAGAGGCATGCAAGTTTAGCATCTCTCCCTCTCAATGGTTCTTTCAGGTCCTTAGGTATAAAATCACACTCTTCACTACACCACGGTTTTTCGCCACCAACAATAAGGCCTAGTCCCGAGATAAAAAGTAACGCGAGATTCAAACAAGGATGTATCGGTCATCCGATTTTCTTGGAAGATGATGAGACAGAACTTTTGTGGCAAGGTAGTTTCCATCAGGTTACTGAGGGAGGTAGTAATAATACTCATCCGAGTTCAAATCTGTGTTTTACCGAGGTGAATGCCAAACCGTTGGTTGATAATATAGAGAATTCAGCACCTGAATTATCATTGAAACTTTGAAACTTTGGTATTTTACTCTATGTTTCTTCTTGTATAAGAACTCTTGGAAGACAAATTTGAGGCATCTATGTATGTCTACTATATATATAAATCATGTTTTTTGTATAATTACTTTTCACATACAAAATATTTTCATTAGATTTCGGGATTGCTTAAAGAATTTTGCGATTTCAATCGGTACGAGTGTTTCAATATTGATTGTGATTGTCGCGGTGTAAATTAACCACAATTTCTTCTTTATCACAAATATAATGAATATCAGTATCGGTATCGACACCTTTTGATTTGTCGTGGCCGATTTCGCGATTGCAGAACGTTTAGCTCAAGTAATGGGCTTGAGGCCCATCACAATAACCCATAACAATGTGTGAAAAACGCTTCCTCCAATATTACCATAATGCCATTGTCTTTCTTGTGAAAATCAGTTGAAAAGCTGACGTGGATACTGCCGCCACAACAGAAAAACAGATTCCATCAAACTAACAGTTTCTTTTCCCGCCAAAATCTGCCATTGAAGTTTCAACACAGTTTCAACAATGGCGTCAACCTCTAGCTCCGCCTCAACTCCGAAGTCTTTCTCAACGCCGGCGTCACCCTCTAGCTCCGCCTCAACTCAGATGTCTTTATCGCCGTTGGCGTCACCCTCTAGCTCCGCCTCAACTCAGATGTCTTTATCGCCGCCGGTGTCACCGACGTCGCAACCGGAGGATGGTTCCCTACGCGATCCGTTTGTGCCGGAGATAAAGGAGCCACCGCGCAACTACTTGACAGAAAGAGTGAAAAAGAGGAAACGCGTCGAAGAAATTCAAGACAAATCACTCATCCACGGTTTCGAACTCCAAGAGCACGCGGCAAAGTTGCTCGAATCCAACGACCTCTCGTCGTTGCGAGAAGCAATCGACGAGTACGCGATATCCAATAAAGAAACATTCAAGACAGTTTTCAAATCGTTCACACGTTATTACCCTAACGCGTTCTCATTCAAGCTCGCTAAAATTCTCGAACTCCACCCTCCGCTTCTAATACGAACTGAAATTGTTGATCTTGTCCATGAAGTTCTTCCCGAAGGGGTAAACAATCCATTGAATTCATCTATCCTCATTGAACTTAAAATCCCTCTTCTTCAGTCACTCATGTTAGAATCCGAAGAAATTTTGTTCCGTTCGCTATGTGAATCGATCGGCCTCCTCGCTGACAAGTTGTACCGAACTTCTCTTGGCGGTTGGGAGGAGCTTCTTGAGTACTCTGTCACGTGCCTTTCCGGAGAATCCGAATCCGAAAACAAGAAAGGGCTTATGTTATTAGCCGAATTACCACTGGATGTTGCTCTAGACAGAGAGTTCTGGCTGAGTCGAGGGAACTTCGATCTTGTCTTCGCCAGTATCTTTCAATCTATTTACTCAACGGATGAGGTAATAAAAGGATTGGCATACAATGCATCGATTTCGTTGATGTTATTTTCGAAGGAACTCCAGAGAACCGATATATGTGAATTCCTCGTGCCAGTTTTGTTGAATATTGTTGATCAACACGGAGAAGAAGAGATTCTGTTGAGTAGGCTTAAACGTTTGGGTGATTTAATTTCACTGGATGACGGAAACATCTTTAAGATGAAACATGATGTACTGTTTTGGTGTATGATTCGAGTAGCGGAGGCAACAGATGCAAGCGAGCAACTGAGATCTGAAGCAATTTATGTAATCAAGGAGCTTGATACCGCAAATGTGAATGTGATGGAACATATGATCAAGATTTTTTCTGAGTACGAAGTGAGAAGGATATTTACGGTTGTTATGAATATGTTTTCGTATGTTATTGATGATCCTCTTTGGTATGATGTTGACAATAAGAGTTGTAAAGATGCTGGGTTGACAGAAAGTTTCAAACGCGGGCAATTCCTGTTGGATTGCCTCTGTATAGATGGGAATGAAAGTGTCTTTGTTCCCACGGTAATTGGGATGATAACAATGAAATATTTACCAAGTATCGATTGGCAGCTACGTCATGCAGCTATGATGGCCTTTGCTACAGTTGCACAGAATAACTTCAAAGAAATGGTATGTATATAAATGATATGATATAATATGATATTCAATGAGCTTTAAGCCCTGAATTGTTTTCTTGATGATGCATTAGCTTATAGATGAGCTTAAAACCATGATCATGATTTATGTATGTTATGAGGTGTGATGTTGATTAGCTTTATGCAGATGAAGGTTTGTATTTGTATTTTGGTTTCTCTTAAACACGCCTAAAATTTAATGACAACACCGAGTTTAAATAGTTTCAGTCCATATGGACTTTCTCTCAATCAAAATAATTAACAAATTAAAGTCTGGTGGATTATACCCAGTTTGTAAATCTTGGCCGGTTACTTATTATTGTGTCAATAGAAGAAGCTTGCGCCACACATACCTGTGCGTGAAGTTGACCACTATGCAACTAGAAGTTCAGAGTACACACAATGCTAGAAAATGATTTTTCATTATTAATTTTTCCAATTTGGTGCATGCCATGTTATTTATGATGCTAACAATTTCATTCATATAATGATCCCTCTCTTCCACTTTGCAACCACAGAACATGTTTCAGAACTTTGAACAAGTTGCCATATTGGTCCTTAAGTCAGTGGATGAGCAGAACGACAGAGTACTTTGGGCTACTATGCATGCTATTAAGCGATTGAGTGAATGTCAGAAACTATTATTGCGTGCTCAATTTCAGACGAAGTTCTTCGAGAAGCTAGTTCCCATCATTAAATGTAACTCTTGTGCCCGTGTACAGGTACAAACATATTAATGTTGCAACTTGATATTTGTTAATAAAGAGATGCTTGTTTTATTATTAACATGTTTTCTATTTTTTCCACATTTTATATTTTTTTGTATATATTTGTTATTAGTTTACTCATATTGAAATTAAATATGTGCAATAAAATTTATCTCCAATTTTTAAATATAGTAATTCTCTTAAAAGCCGATTTCATGACAGTTTTACTATGTATACATTGAAGCACTATTTATTGAATTGTTTTATAAACGATATCCTTTGTTTACTTCTGCAGTCATATGCTCTCATTGCTCTTCGTTCCTTGGTAAAAACTTGTGACTTTGACAAAATATCACATTTTGGGGAACAAGTTATAACATCATTACTTTTACTTCTTAAGGTACATAGTCTGCAATTTTTACTATTAACTTCTCATTTATACAGATATTTCACTTTATATGAATTCATTGCATACATTTATTCATTGTATTGGTGTAGTCTCAACCATTATTTTTCTATTGTTTTTTTATGTTTTATGTACTTAAAATAAGCTAAATGAGTTTTCTGAGTTTTTCAGCATGAAAAACTGAAGTTACAGAGTGAAGCTATTGAAACCCTGAAGTCGTTTGCAGTGTTCATGGCGGTATACATTAATATCTGAAGTTTAGGAATGACATGTTTTAATTATGACAAACAATTATCCTAATGCAATTTCTGTGTATTGTTGCATGCAGGAAACTTTTCGCAAAAATTATTACGATACAACAATAGAAGCATTGAGAGTTACTGCGTTGAATAGTTTACAAAAATCTGTGCTATGTGCCAAATGTTTAGAATGCATCGTACATCTTATAAAGAACGTTGGGCGAGATAACTTCAAAGAACAAGAAGTTGTTCAGGTGAATACTTCTAATTCTATTTAAAAGTGACTCAAATTATATAGAATATAAAGTTGAAACCAAATTTAAAATTAATACAAGTAGAAATTAGAATTGAAAAGGGGAATATATCATTCAAATTTTGGTTAAGATTGTCATAGATTGATATATCTTAGTGGCTGCAAATAGTTATGCATTTTTTTTTGTGCTAATTCATCTTGTAACATTTGAAGGTTGTGGAAACTCTAATATTACTTGAAAGACAATCGAGTAATGAAGATTACTTATTAAAGTGTATTGTCATAAAGGTATATTTTAAATCAATGCTAGATCATGTATCTCTCCTACATGGTAATGCTAGTTGAAAGTTCACATTCCTAACTGAATGAATATTGTGCAGGTTCTAGATCAAATCTGTCAATGCCCAAGAGTGAGTATTGACAAATTTATCGAAGACATCATGCCAATGTTGATTGGATCCATTCAACCCCTAATTGACTTAATGGACAATAAGCTCAGTGATGATAGGTTTGCCATTCTATTTGACTTAATGGCCAAAGATAAAAGAGTTTCTGTTAGTTCTGATTGAATGAGCAATATTTTGTGGCATTATGAGGAAATCACGCAGTTTAATAGGAATGAAAATTGGGAACAACAATGATATCACAGATCAAGTTAAAAAATCATTCAACTAATGTTCTCTTGTTATTAACTGATGGATGTGCTCATTTGCAGCCTAAATGATGAGAACAAAAGATTGGTTGAGCTAACAAGAGTTCGGGCTTGTAATACATTGTCATACTGTGCTATTCGGTCATCTAAAAGCTTTTCCCCCCACATTAGCACGGTTAGTTTGATAGATCTGATGTTTGTGGTTTATATAGAGGTGCTTGCTTACCTAAAAAACATACTTGTTGTGACTAATTAAACATGTCTTTAAATGATTAGGTTGCTCCAATGTTTATACGTTTGCTTGGTTTTTCTAGTTTTCAAATTCGCAAGGCTTCTATTTTAGGTGAATATTTTTTTTTTCAAATTTTTTTTTGGGTTTAAACAATTTTTTATTAAATAATTTACGTTCTGTTTTTAGGTCTTCCAAAACTATTACTCTCAGTTAAAGTGGGTGACAAAAGTAATGACACTAAAAGAGATGTGACTTTTGTCATTGTACAATCTTTGATTGCCGGGTTGACGTTGGGGGTATGTATTCGGTTGTAGTTCTTACTTCTTAATTTATCATTTTATATTTGGACTTATTTCTTGCCAATGCAAAACACATGCAGGATGACAGGGATTTGTCAACAACAATATTGAGGTTACTTGCTAGATGCATTCAGGTACAATATAATTTTGTAAAATACATATAGATAATATGCTTAGATTATATATTTCTCATATTAGTAACATATGTTCATTATGCAGAGCTCTAGTTCATTTTTCACTGATCAACTGGTCAAGGTTATTGCTGACGGAATAAACGATACAGTAAAAAAGATTATTAAATTTGAAATGGAGAAAGCACAAGAAGTGGGAACTTTGGAAGATATTTTTGAATCTTTAACAACAGACGAAATAGTTGAGGTTATACCTTTAAATTCTCCTGTTACTGAGTACACATATATTATATTATTTTTTATGACTTGTTTACCCACAGAAAACTGAAAATATGCATGGATATATCTGTAGGACGTATTTTCCTATGATTTTATACTCCTCAATTTATATTTACATTATTTGTTGATCTATAGAGTATGGAATGATAATCAACTCTTCTTCTCATCACAGGAACTAGTTATCTTAATAGCAACAATGATTGACACATCTAGAGACCAATTTTTGGTACATGTTGATGACCTAATGTCTAATGTTGTCGCATTTTTGGTATGTTCTGATCTCAATGTTTTTTAAATGAGCTTGTTATAATCATTGTGCTAGAAAACCTGCATATATCAAATAAGAGTAAGACAGATCACTAAGGAAGGTAAAAAGAGTGTCATGCTAATAATTTTTGATGATTTACAACTGTAATTAGGAACGAAGGATCTATGTAGGATAATTAAGACTCGAGTGGAAACAAAAATTAAATTATAAAATGAACCTATAATAATGTCTAGAAGAATACAACAACAACCAAGCATTTTCCCACTAATTAGGGTCGGCTACGTGGATCAACTTCAGCCATAATGTTCTATCGAGGGTCATGCTTTTATCTAAGATTAACAATTTGTGTCATAAATACACTTCATATAGCAAAATACTACAAATACTCTTTTATCACTCAATACTATAGAGACATTAAACACTATATGCGAATATTCTGGTCGTAAAATTAATATTTATTTAGTTTTTTCTTTTTTTGAAAAATTAAAAAATCCATTCATTCCAAGCCCATTTTCTGCAAAATCTATTTGATCAAGTCCACTATGCTGTTCAAATTTGGCCAGGATTAATATAATAAATAGCATTATATATATGTTCTACTTGATAATCTTAAGTAAAAATTGTGCTCCTCCTCCATAATGTTTCTCATCAATTTTATTGCTTTTGGCTAATCTTTGGCAGGCCGATGATAAGCCAGATAGAATAATAGCTTTCACAATTTCCATTTTTAACGTTATCTTGCCACTATTTCCAGACCAATTGACGCTGTAAATCAGTTTTTTATACTTAGTTTCTCTTATGAGTTTGGTATGAAGTTATAGCAATAGTAAATGTACCCGTTGATAACTTTATCTTGTTCCTGTGTGATATTTGATCAAATAGGTATTTTGATAGATATAGATCAATCTCATATCTTGCTTTGGCACAAGATTATCCTTGTTCCCTGCCGGTAATTTCAAAGATGTGTCGATAATTTTGTTTCCTTATTATTATAAAAAAAAAAAACTTTATAAAAATAAATAACAAATGAGCATTAATTTTTGGTTTTGTTATTATTCCAGCATGCATCACGGGCAGTTGGAATCTGTGCTATGTTTGGAGGAGCTAGATTTAAAGAATCTGCAAATGGTAACTTTTTGTAAACTCTAAACCTTTTTAAAAAGTTATTTAACCTTTAAAATTTAATAACAATAAGTTTTGTGCAGCGTGTATCTTGGTATTATACAATGTTCTGGATAAAGAACTTGGTGTACTAGTACTCCGATATGATGATAGAACTCTGAAAACATTATGGGATACAACAGTTGCAGCTATTGGAAAAATCTGTGAATTTCATCGTGATTGTATCACCCCTGAGGTAATAATAGCTAAAATGTCAATGCGAAATGGAATAATGCTCTACCTTCCTTCAATGCAAAATGGATACATACAATTATGTTTAATTTATTTCTTTTTAAAAATTATTACCAATATCAACTTGTCAATGTCGTGCCCGTATATATAAGTGTCGGTGCAGTGTCCGTATAAGTGTTAGTGTTTCATAATATTAACATGACTTCTACAACTGTTAGTCTACAATGTTTACTGCGTCTTCTAGTGCTAGCTTTGCCTAGCCACATATTTATTTTGTTATCTTCAATCTTAATTCTTTTAAGCAGGTGGTTCAAAAATGGTTAAGCTTCTTGCCATTGAGGCATAATTACAATGAAGCTAAATATGCACATGGACTGCTTTCAAAATTGATACAAAGGTGTTAAAGTGTTCTTAAATCTCCTTTGGATTACTTTCAAATTATTACCAAATTTATACTTTTGTTCATGTATTGGGCTATAAGCTAAAGTGGTTAACTGTTGCATTGATGAGGTTGGATGAACACCTATTTGGAAGTAATAATGAGAATCTTCCCAAGATTATTTGGGCGGTAAAAAGAGTAAGTAGAAACCATGTTCTTTAATTTTGGTCAAAAGAACCAATTTTCTTTAGTTTGTGTTAATGTGTATTTATTTGAATTATGTAATTTTTTTTTTTATAGATTTTATCTGGACCTGACCGTCTGGGAACTGAGGAAACTATTAATCAGATGATTTACTTCATAGAACAACATGGTGGAATGGAAATTGTAACTAGGCGAGCATATCAGGCACTAAATCTCCGTAGATTCTCTAATTATTAGGCTTCATTTGGCACTGAAGGAGGTGCATAATTTCTTGGTTTCAAACTGAAATTGTACAATAGACAATAAGAAACGAAGATTTCAATCTTCCAATATGTAAAGGTACAGCATCTGCACAAACAAATAATACAAATGGGCAGTAACTTTTTTTTTACTTGAAAATGTACATTAGTTTATCCTCTGTTTTTCTTGTCTTGCAAGCATCCCTTCATAGAGTATAACATGTTGATATTACTATAAAATATAAGTTTTTTTTATGAAGATTATTTTGAGTAAAAGTAATTTTCAACTAATGAGAGATTAATCGCCCAAGTACAATTGTTGATTGGAGTTGAATTGTGAATTTAACCAAAATGGTGTCCAACTTTTTTCTTTTTTGAGACCATTGATTTACCAAAAATAATCTGCTCCAATCCATTATTTCACGTACTATGTTAAAAATGTTAAGTTATTCAAATTTCTTACCTAGCTGAAGCTTATAATTTAATTCTCAAGTACCTTCTTTTCTATTTAATTTTTACAAATTATGTTGCATAGAAAACCTAAGGGAAATCCTAAGGGATGACTTTTGAAGTGTCTTATCCGAGCTATCAACTAATGGAAATTAATCTTGCATAGAAAACCTAAGGGAAATTAATCAACTTATTTCATATTTCAGCATATTCATTAATCGTACTGCTGAATCCATTTGTATACTGTTTGGTTGGAAATTCAACAATAGAAATTAATGAATTGAATGATAAATTTAACCGGATCTATATTTATGATCATTGATACCAGGTTTGGTGGAGACCAATATTGAGTTAGTTAAGGGTGCCTGGAAGCTTTGAAACGAACACATCAATACTCTGGGAAAGGTGAGAGGGGTCGGCGTCTTGAGTGGAGGATGGGCCACATGTTGTGGTGCTCTTGAGTCTGGGAACCATTGTTGAGTTGTTGGACTGAATGTAGTTTTCCATCTGTAAGATAGGCTTGAGGTTGCTCTTGCTGCTGAGGAATGCGAGTAGATCTAGCTGCAAGATTAGGTGAAGCTCTAGTAGCTGGGACTTGCCACTGATCTGGATTAGGTGTCCTCTGATTAGATTAGGTGTCCATTGATTTTGTTTAGATGTCCACTAATTTTGCCTGTTTTTCCATTGATATTTGATTTTGATCCGATCTCCACTAATTCTGGTTTTTGTCCATTGGTTCCAGCCAGGTGAGGGAGCTCTATTCCATGACTGAGATGTACTCCAAGCTGAAGGCATCATAGATGTGTGTCTGTGATAGCACACATTAGCATCATGACCTGCTTTAAAGCATCTTTGACACTAAAACTTGAATCTTCCTGCAAATATTCATCCTCTTCCACGATTATAGGAATGATCGCCATGATAGGCATGAATACTACCAGTGAACTTAAGTCCATTCCACTGTTGAATGGATGAGGAGTGGGGTGTTTAGCTTGGTTGAGAGATATTCTAAAGTGTAAAAACATTTCCTTGAGTAATGTCAATTGAAAGAGGTTTAGTTAACATATTTTTCTTCACCTTCTCAATTTTGGATTCATGTGAAAGCAACATGGGTTCAACTTCAATAATAGGACACATAACATGATATTGAATGATAGATGCAAGTCAATTATACTCACGAGGCACACAATCAAAAATTGCTGCTTGTGGATCTATCTGTTCTGAAGGTATAATCGTCTGTAGGTTTTGATGATGATAATTTATGATGACTTTTAAGAAGACGATAAATCCATAAATCAAATAGCTTTTAGGTGCTCATAGAATCATAGTTCTCTTCAAGAGTTATTTGTTACAACTGTTAAAAGAGTTGAATGCAATTGTCCAATAATATTCGGGTGATGGCATCTGATCAAGAAGAAGATATCTCACCTCATCGGACATATGTTTCAGGTTTTAATTTAAGTGTTAATCAATCGTTGAATCATGTAGAGGATTTTGAAGTTTCAAAGTGTGAAAGTTCACCTAATTCCGCACTTAGACTTTTAGAGTGCTCAGTTTATTGTAAAAGAGATATGACTAAGTCTTGAGGTATTAAGACGCTCACGTGCACACACAAACACACACGCACACGCACACTGTAACACCCTTCTAAATCCCGCGGAATATATATAAATAATTAGAGTAAATTATCATTCATATCAAATAAGGGTGTCACATATAATTCAAAATATCACACATATACTTGTCATGCTCAATAGCACTTAAAATAAATTTATGTTTTTCATATACTTTCATGTAGCTTGTAGTAGCGGAATTACTTCAATCATAAATTAACATAATGAAAGTCGCATGATCAACTCATTCATAATCATCACTTAGGCATAAAATCCAATACTCCACATAATTCAAATAAAATAACAGCATAAAGTAGAGTACATAAAGTATCTCTCAAAACATGAATCGAAACGTTCCCAGTGTTATATGATCAGAGCACGACTCAACCCAAAAAAATAGAGAAACTAAAACAAGCTACTTCAACGGCTACCTCACGCTAGAAGTAACTCTACTCCTTGATACCTGAGTGATGTCATGCAAAACATTATTCCAACAGAAGGGTGAGAATTCACATAATTATCGAAATCATAAGATAATATATAATTTATGGCATACAAACAAAACATAATGAATCTCACACTCCAAAAGCTTCACCAACATATTATCACTCAAATGATCATACTATTCACAAGTACATACTCACAATTCTATAATTCGTCAATTCATCAATTTCACATATTTCGCATAATCTCATATTGCAAACATATACATGATGTGACTCAATGCAAACTCTAATGCAACTCATGCATGTGGTACCAATCACTTGTTATTATTTTTCAGTTTTTACATTAAACCGAGTCCGTTCCCTAGACCAATAACACACAAAAAGTCTGTTCCTTAAGCTTTCAAACTCCGCTATAGGTTTGAGACAAGTCACTAGTTCCCACGGAACTAACAAGGATTGCCTTTTGACAATAAATGATGCATGTGCAAGTTCAACAACCATATGCAATTAAGATCATTCTCTAATCTTAACATTCATGCATATTTTCAATAATTCATCATACTTGAATTACTACACAATTACACACACTTGCACATTTTATGAATCATCCACACACACAATTCACTTTCAAATGGTATACAACACATTTTACAATACAACCACAACTGTATTATCATTACAACAAGCAATAATTATCATGCATTTCATGCTGTCACACCCAAAATATACTTATACAAGCAAACACACAAGTATTCGATAAATTATCCACAAAAAATTTCACAACCGACAACAAACAACACAATAATCCATTAATAGAACATATACATAATTGTCTCCCCAAACATATTAGATATAAAAATATTTGGCAACCAATTCTTTGATCTATACTACATTATAGCCTTATTCATTAGCTTTTTGATGCTTTGAACAAGGACAAAAACGGACTTACAGATCAAAAGTTATGACCAAAACGATTTCGACCTAAAATATGAACTGTCGTGACAGGCAGCATGCAGAATTTTCTGCGTTTTTCACCATTGAAGACCTTTCGGGCCTCCGATTTTGATTTTGTAAAAACCCAAACTCTAAGAAAATTACAACTCATTCAATACTGTAATTATTTCAAATAAATTTACAATTTTAACACAATTAAACTATGTCCAATCCTCAAAAAAGAAAAAGAATACACATATATAAGCCACACAAATTCATCATATAACAACCACCATGGAAATTAGAGATTTTGATTCTAAATATGATCCTACTCATTATACAATATCATACAATCTCATAATTATGGAAAGACCCACCCTTACCTTGATTCCTTAGATTCTAGAGCGCTTGCTCTGGGGTTTTCTCCTCATCTTCTCCACTTTTCTCTTTGCCTCTTTTCCTCTTTTCTATCTTTCTAATCTTATTCTCTCTTTCTCTTATTTTATCAAATTCCATAATTTCTCATTATTCTAATGGGCTTACTAACCCACTTTCTCACTTTCTATTCACACTCTCAATCTAAGCCCATTTAGTAATTCTACCAATTCTATATTTTATTCCACCAAATAAAATAAATAATATAAATCAAATAAATTAAATAATTCATATAAATTAAATAAATCACTTAATTCAAATAAATTAAATAATTCAAATAAATTAATAATTACTAAAATTGGGGTGTTACACACACACACACAAACATTATTTTCAAACCTTCTCTAATTTTAATAAACTTCTTAAAACCAATCCAAACAAGTATAAAATAGATTAAGAAATGTTTCTATTCATCTAAGAAAGATAGCTCATTGTATAATCGATTAAGGCCTTGATCAAATCGATTAAAACAAACAGAGACACCTTTTAATCGACTAAAAAATACATTAATCGATTAAAGCATATAGTCATTATATGATTTCTTTTTCTTGATTAAGGTTGTATTTTATGAGGTAGCATAATCATTTAAAGCATTTTTAATTGATTAACTCATTTATTTGCCTTATGGATTATTTTCTTTTTGTGCAACAAATTTTTCTATATAAATGAGATCTCTCCTTATTTCATTTTACATCAGATTTATGAATAAAAAACTCTTTATTATTTTTCTACTCTCCTTTATGAAATCTTTATTTCGCTAGAATGGTTGTAGGGTTGAAAAGTTGAAAAGTCCTTCTGAAGATTGTGTTATATTAGTGTTGTGTTTAATTTATCTTATTCAAGAGTGTGATTCTCTTTTGTAATATTTTTTTGTAAAGAATTTGAAGCTTGCAAGTTAAACTTGAAAAAGTTTTGTTGAAGGTTCTTAAGATGTTGTAGATATTTCGATTTTGGGACTGCTGCAAAACTAAGATTAAATGGAGATGAAAACAGAGAAATTAATTTGCACGATAAAATTCTAAAGTATGTGTTTTTAAACTAAGCTTAAGGAACAAATCGCCCCCACCAATATTTGTATATTGGATGCAACAGGATTTACCGGCGAATTTATTGCTGGATAC